TCTCGGGATCTTGGGCACGCATGCACACGTGCCTGGCGTGAGTTTAAGCCACCGGGTCCGGGACTCAAACCGTGGTCGACTATGTGGGAGTCCAGCGACATAGCCATTACGCTAACTGCTGGTCCCCTAAGTGCCCTTTTTAAGGTTTTTACCATATGTACGCTCGCTGGAGAGAGAGAGAGAGACAGACAGACAGAGAGAAAGTGAGAAATCACCCCTTATGGGGATGGACAAGCCACCATCCCTTCTCCTCCATGCTCTTCTCGGGATTTTGGGTACACATGCACAAAATTTTGGAAACTCAAAATCTTGAGAGGAGAAGGGAGGGGAAGGAATTGTGGCATGGCCATTCCCCCTGGGGGTAATTTCTTGCTTTCTGTCTCTCGAGCAAGCCCACAGACTCTATAGCAAAAACCTCTCCCCCAAAAAGCTTGTCTATGGGTGGATTTGTTTTGTGAGTTCATTTGTCCATCTCTGTATGTGGCCTCTCAGTGACTTGAGCTTCAAAAAGCTCTGATTCCTGATCCGCCAGTCTCCTGCTTTGATCTGCCTCAAAATCGAAGTTGGATCATGATGATGTTTAATGAGTGTTTGCTGAACACACGATGAGTTATGTTTTTTTTATTTCTCTTAGTGTGTCATTTTTAGAATCTTTTAGGAGGTATGACATGTAATTTCTTTTAGAGAATTTTATATTTCAAAATCAAGCTTCAGAATAAGAATTTACTGACTAGAATACCATTTAGTATTTTGTTAGGTAGGAAGGAAGGATTAAAACCCCTGGCAAAAGTAAAGAATTTTCTCTTCTTTTTCTTTTCTTTTCTTTCTTTTTCTTTTCTTTCTTTTTTTTTTTTTTGTAGTTAATTTCAGTGGGTTGTCAAGGAAACTTACTGAGGAGAGCTATTTACTAGTAATAGTGTTTGCTTTGAAGTGTGGCTGTAAAGTAATGAGGTTTGCTTTCTCTAGCCTCATTTTTACAGATAGTCATACTCCATATAGTCATGCTTTGAATGTGCAAAGCAATAATACTTGCTGGGTTTATTAATTAATATTTCACTTTGATTGCAGTTTAGAAACTGAATGGTTATACTTTATGTCTGAGGTTTTCTTTTGTTCACTTTAGCTTTGAAATGTCCCTGTAAAGGTTTTTTATTTGGACTATAATTTAATTGGATGGCTCTGGCCAGCCTTTGAAGGATACTTAGCTTTAGAATGGCTGGTAAACACTTTACCAGGAAGTGTGGAAGAAAGACAGCTACTTTCATTTATATAACAAATCGAGGAAGGAGTGGCCCGTTAATTTTTTTTTTGTAATTTCCCAGAGGACACTTGCGCTCTCTGGAGAGGGAAAGTGAGAAAGCATCCCCTCCACGGTGTTCCATGACCATGGCCATGCCACAGTCCCTTCTCCATTTCTTCTTCCTTTCTGGATTTTGGGCATGCATGTACATTTGCCTGGTGCTTTTTTTTTTTTTTTTTTTTTTAAGGTTTTTTTTTTTATATCGCGCTAAAAAAGAGAAAAAACCAACAAACCCCCCCCCCCCCCCCCCCGGTGGTTTGGCCACGCCGCAATCCCTTCTCCATTCTCCCTTGGGATCTTGGGCACGCACGCACACCCAACATGAGTTTAAGCCACCGGGTCCGGGACCCTAATTGCAGTCGGCTACATGGGAATTCAGCGACATAGCCGTTACACTAACTGCTGGTCCCTGCCTGGTGCATTTCTGAAGCTGCAGGGTCTGGGACTCAAATTGCACAGTTGGTCAGGTGGGAGCCAGCTGCCTAACCATTAGGCTACCAGGTGCCCCTCCGCTTTTCTTAATTTTCCAGGGGCCATGTGCACTTACCAGAGACAGAGAGGAAGAAAACAGCTCCTGTATGACATTGTTACACTGAAATACTGTGTTGGTTTGAGTCCAATGAAACCTTTTTCCTTTCCTTTCTTACTTTTTTTTTAAAATGAAGGTTTTTGCCATAGAGCACGTGAACTTGCCAGAGAGGAGAGAGACAGAGAGAGGGAACGTGAGAAATCACCCCCCGAGGGAATGGCCATGCCACAGCCTCTTCACTCTCCTCTTAGATTTTGGGCTCACACATGTATGTGCCAGTGTGAATTTCAAGCCACTGGGTCTGGGACTTGAACTACAATTGGCCATGTAGGAATCCAGCTACCTTAACCACTACGCTACCTGCTGTAGGGTGCATGCACTGCTGGAGAGAGACAAACAGAAAGAGAAGGAAAGTAAGAAACCACCCTCCCGTCCTGGCCTACCCACAAGGCAGATGGCCCTGTCACAGTACCTTCTCCATTCTCCTCCTGAGATTTTGGGCGTGCATGGAGACGTGATTCTCAGGCTGCCCAGAATGTGATTTGTAGGCCACTGCGTCAGGTCCTCAGACTGCGCTGCTCGCCATGTGGAATCCGGCACCTTAACCACTGCGCCACCTGCTGGTCCAGGGCTTCCTTTAATAGTAAAATTTCATGGAGCCTCCCTAATGTACTTTTAGTGTCCTTTAATTGAACATGTATATATATCAACCAAAAACTGGGTCAATCGGTTTGTAATTATCTGTGTTAACCAAAGTAGAACATACATGTATTTACTTAAAACAGTGTAAAATATAGTTTCCACAGTGTATGGCTACATATGGGCAGTTATGTGTCACTCCGCGGTCCCCGGTGAGTCGGCACACCGTAGGTGAGTTAAGGATGAAGACAGGGTTTCAGAGGGCCCGTAGTGGTGGAGACCGCAAGGGAGAGAGGGGAAGTGACAGAAGGTCAGTAACCAGAAGGCAGTAGTGGGCTCTGGAAGGGCCTGAGAGGAAGTAGCCCTTTTGGACGATAAGGATGACTGCAGGGTAGACGCCAGGTGCTCAGACGAGCCGTCATCAGCAGGTAACAGTTCAGGGAGCAGCTGCAGGGTTAGTTTTGGGAATTATGGCAACCCAGTGCTACCTCCAATTCGAGGGGTCTACTTGACCTTGTTAGCATCTTCTCTAGAAAAGGGTAAGTAAGGGGACCAGCAGTTAGCATAATGGCTATGTCACTGGACTCCCATGTAGTCGACCGCGGTTCCGGACCCGGTGGCTTAAACTCATGCTGGGCACGTGTGCGTGCCCAGGATTCCGAGAGGAGAATGGAGGAGAGGAGGAGGGATTGCGGCATGGCCATCCCCCCTGGGGGGTGATTCCTCGCTTTCTGTCTCTCTTTTTTTTTTTCCTCTCTGTCTCTTTCTGTCTGGTGAGTTCACGCGCCCTATAGCAAAAACCTCCCGAAAAGAAAAGGGTAAGTAAGGAAAAGAAACTAGGAAAATTCTAGATTTTTATTTCACCCATAACCAGAATGCTGGTTAACTTTGAATTCATAAAACTGTATTCTGTATGAGTGTTTTTGTTTGCTTGTTTCCATTTCTTAATAAATTTTTCTAGTTTAAAAAACCCAGTTTGGGGCTAGCAGCTTTAGTGTGGTGATGAAGGCAGCTGACTCCACAGTTCCAGTCTTGGACACATTGGCCTGAAATGCGTGCTGGGCTCGTGTGTGCTGTGCCGAGTCCTGAGAGGAGAATAGAGGAGGAGTTGTGGCCTGGCCATCCTCCTCGAGGTGTGAGTTCTTACTTTTCCCCTCTGTCTCTCCCTAGGGAACACACGTACCCTTTGGCAGAAAATGCCTTTTAAAAAATGCAGTTTCATCTCAGCCGAGACTGTGGAGAAGGAAATTTTCTACTTGTTTGGAGTAGAGCTGGGTTCTCAGTGTCCACTAGCATGGCCTGTGCTTCTCTGATGGAGCGGGAACTGGAGCACACAGGCCTGAAAACCTTGCAAGGGAAGGTGCTGGACCACGGTGCCTGTCACAGCCAAGGGCCTTTCTTCCTTCTGACCAGCTTTTTAGGTGCTTACAGGCTCATCAGTGACAATCATTTTGGTTTTGTTTTGTTTTTTTTTTTTTTGAGAGGTTTTTGCTATAGGGTGTGTACGCTTGCCAGCCAGACAGAGAGAGACAGAGAGACAGAAAGCGAGAAATCACTCCCCAGGGGGGATGGCCACGCCGCAATCCCTTCTCCTCCATTCTCCTCTCGGGATCTTGTGCACACTCGCACTTGTGCCCGGCGTGAGTTTTAAGCCACCGGGTCCGGGACACGAACCGCGGTCGACCACATGGGAGTCCAGCAACATAGCCATTATGCTAACTACTGGTTCCCGTGTTTTTTAAGTCCTTTTGTTACCTCTTCAGGTCTGTGTTCAAAGGGCTTTAGAGAAAGGAGCAGTGGAGGGCTTAGACTGGGCAAAGGATGAGAGGCTGGGGGGGTAATGACCACTGCTTCAAATGGCCTGCTTTTCTAGGCAGTTGGCTACTTTTGCAAACAGGAATGAAAGCCACCTTACAGGAAGTAATTTGGAGGGCTGGCCCCCTACCACAGTGCTGTGCATTGGGAACCAGATCCCACATGGGTGACCATGGTTCAAATCCCAGACACGGTGGCTTAAGGAAACACACCAGGCATGTGTACATGCATTTCCAGAGTCCTGAGTCCTGACAGGATGGGGGAATGGGGATTGTGGCATGTGACGTTTTTTTTTTTTTTCCTCTCCCACTCTCTGCCAAGTACATACTCCCTCTGCCAGTAAAATAAATAAGTAATCTTTTTCTTTTCTTTAATAGAAATGTTTGCTATAGGGCTTGTGCCTTCGTTGGAGAGACAGTAAAAGTGAGAAATCACCCCCTGTGGGGATGGCCATGCCACAGTCCCTTCTCTTGCGATTTTGAGCGTGAATGGACATGTCCCCAGTGTGAATTTAGCCACTGGGTCTAGGACTCGAAACGCAGGGAGTCCAACACCTTAACCACTACTATGCCACCTGCTGGCCCCTGTAGTCTTTAAAAAAAAAAAAGATTTGTAGTGGTTCTTAGTTACTCTGACATGTATAACATCTTAACTTCACATATGTGCATACGTGTCTTTTTCAACGATTAACCCTATTATGTGTCCTCTGTGACTCAGGTGCTACTTGTGAGCAGTAGTCGCCACCCAGACCGATGGATTGTCCCTGGAGGAGGCATGGAGCCTGAGGAGGAGCCGAGCGTGGCAGCGGTCCGTGAAGTCTGTGAGGAGGTATGTGTGGGAGGAGAGGGCACAGCTGTGACCTTGGCGTCATGAACCTGTCCCATCGGTGAGGTTCTTGAACTCACCTCTTCTCACTGAGGAGACAGAGCGATGGTGTCTAACGGTCGCCATGCGCCGGCTTGTTTAAAGGGGTGACTGAGTTGTGGTGTGGACATTTTGTCAGGCTTAGAGCCCGAGAACGGCTTGTAGAGACTGCGTCCGACTATACCAGGTGGCCCTTCGTGGCTTCCCATGGGTCTCTTCCAACGTTGCCTCTGCTACCTGCGGCAGGAGTCGAGAATCAGAGAGCTCTTCAGCCTGAGAAATGAGGGACAGGATGCACTGATGTAGAGGACTTGTTCTCGTGAACCTTTACATGAGGACAAGGAGGAGGAAGGCCCTCGCTCTCCTGTGCTCCCTGGGTCCTAGCCATGGGTGGTGGCTGAAGTAACAATGCTGTTAGCCAGAAGCCGTTCGTGGTGCCCCTCGAGAGAGAATAAATCCTGCCTTCCTCCCAGGCACGCGGTGTCCATCGTACGTGTATCGAGTTTCTGGACATGCCTGTGTGTCTTACTATTAATAGTTACTCCACAGTAGCCAGTAGGAAGAGGTCAAGTCACGGAGCGTTGGTTCTTTCATTTCGAGACTTTATAGTTGGAGGCAAACTGGTAGACAGATTGCAATGCAAAGCCCGGAGGAAGGCGCTAAGGTTTCTGCATCGCCTCTCGAGGTGACACCATCCTCTGTTCTGCTTACACTGCCGCGTTTAGGGCTCCTCGCTCAGTGGTGTCGATCGCGCTTGTGTACCTGCCTGGCAGTGCTTCTAAACCCGTTTCCTTGTTTGCGAGGGAATGGGAGACTGACTGTATAGGCACGTATAAATAACACCTTAGAGGCCTAGCCTGCGGCCTCGCGGTTAGGGGGACCAGATCCCACATGTCTCCAGAACTTTCTTCAAATGTGGGACATAGTTTTGCCTCATGGGTTTCTTTATTTAGAGAAAAGAATACAAAGGAATCCTTCACCGGAAGTACCCCTCGCACTGTTTCTGTCTGGTGTCCAGAGTTGCTTCTTGTGTCTGTGCTTGAACTAGTAGAGCCTTCACCTCTAGGATTTGACTTTCACAAACTTTTAGAATTTAAAACAATTTGAAAACATGGCTCATAGGAGAAGCTAGAATGTTTAGAATTTATTTTGTAGAAGTTTCTTATATTTATTGTCAGTATATGTTTATCTTATAGCAAAAGAATGAACAGAGAATATACCATTTTGGAAAGGAACAAAATTTGGCATGCATGCTGTACAGTCTCTGTTGCTGCTCCTTACCCTTGTAGGGCAGAAGTAGCCATAGACAAGCATCGTATATCCACAACGAGCCTGGCTGTGTTCCGGTAAAGCTTTATTTACAAAAACAGCCGTGAGCCACAATCCCAGGCATAAGCCCTGCAACTCAGAGTGTGGTTGGTGGAACCAGCAACATCAGCGTCATTAGCAAGGAGCTTGTTAGGAACGGAAAATCTCGGGTCCCAGTCCAGGCCATCTCTGTTGGGCTCTGATCTTAATGGGAACACCAGGTGATTTTGAGAACCCACTACGTTAGAGTTTTGAATTCTTACCAATGAGTGTTCTGGGAATTCCTCCCGGTGGAGCTGTGCAGGAAAATGTTCTTGGAGGGTCGGACTCTGAATTTACTAACCATCCAATCCACTTCTGACATGAAAAGACTAGTAAGCCAGAGGATGTAGTTCCCAGATTTTTGCAATGGTTGCAACTCAGTCTGCTCAATAAGGTTTAGGTTTGCTTAGTATAAAGCACTTGCGGGCCGGCAGTATGGTGGCTAAGGCGGCTGGACTCCCACATGGCTGACTGCAGTTCAAGTCCCGGACCTGGTAGCTTGCTTTCTCACTTTCCCTCACTCTCTCTCTGTCTCTCACTGGTCAACTTCATAAAATAAAATGATGACAATGAATAAAGTAACAACAACAACAAAAAGCACTTGCACAAGACTCCTTTAAATAGAGCCATAAGGAGAGGAGAGGGCGTGCTCTGAGGGTAGCAGACCCATCTGTTTTGGTAGCATACATTTTGACAGAAGAGAGAATAGTCCTGGAATTGGCAGTGGTAGCCTCCACTTCTGGATTTGACTAGTGGGTTGTATTTGGCAGCTGCCTCATCCATCCCAGAGGCAGCGCTTGGGTTGGCAGCCCAGTTGAGCAGTGTATTTGTGGGAGTTGTTCCTGGAGCCTTGGCTTGCAGTCTGTTTCTTCAACTCTCCCAGTGATTCTGTAAGCTGTTTTTATCCCTTAATGAATCCTCCTCTTAAACTAATAAGAGGAAATCCTATAGCTGCAATTAAGAATCTTGGCCAGTCCAGATTCCCTGCAAATAATAACTGCTTTGGTTCTATCAACCATCCTCCCCTGCGTGACTGCCCTATCAGGGAATTGAAATGTATTTGTAGTGCACCCCCCACCTTCCTCTGTGGAAAGCTACTCAGTGGCCTTGAATGAGCTGTTTGGTCTACAGTGTGTCAGTGGTTGAATCAGACAGCTCTGAGTCCATGGGAGAGCGGAACTGTGATGGAATCCAGTTCAGGATCAGGACCTTTCTCGATAGGATACTGTCTGTTCATTCAGTAAATATTGAGTGTCCGTCCATCCTGCACCAAGCACCGGGCCACATATAGTAATAAAGAAAGAGAGAAGCCTATTTAGATTTGCCCTCATTGAACTTAATATCTCACAGAGAATACAAAGACAATAGGAAATTATCATTTTAAAGTTACGTTTTTTGTTTTTTTGCCATAGGGCATATGCACTCACCAGAGGAGGGGACAGTGAGAAATTGCCCTCCTGGCGGGGGTCGGGGAGGTGATCACGCTGCCGTCCCTTCTCCAGTCTGCTCTCGGAATTTTGAGCACACACTCACATGCACCTGATGTGATTTTAAAGCCCCAGGTCTGGGACCCCATCTCTAGCTGGCCATGTGGAGTCCGTGTCTTAACCGTGATGCCGCTTCTGGCCCCAAGGATTTGTTTTTTTCTGACTCTGTATGCATCAGCAGAGAATAAGACCTGGGATCAGAGAGGATGTTGATAGATGGTTTTGCTGTCCTTGAAGGGAAACTTCGTAATAAGAAAGCATTATTTAGAGGTTTGCTTATTTATTTATTTTTAAGTTTTTGCGGTGGGATACATGCATCCCCAGGGGTGTGAGTAGGGAGAGAGAGAGCTGGGGGCATGGCCACACCACAGTCCCTTCTCCATTCTCCTCTTGGGATTTTGGATATACACTCACACACGCGCATGCTCACACACGCTCGCGCAAGCACCCAGCATGTTTTCAGGCCTCAGGGTCTGGGAGTGAAACCACGGAGTCGTCCATGTGGAATCCAGCCACCCTAACCTCCATGCCGTCTTTTGGTCCTAGTTTTCAAAACGTTATGATTTCTTTAAAGTACACGTTGAAAACCTAGTTTTTTCAAGTGCTTTCAGACTTGATTGCTCTATTTACTTAATTTATTTATATATATTTATATTTATTTACTTAGGTTATTTGGGACTAGCCAATGTGGTGGTTAGGGCACTTGGATCCCATACGGCTGACTGTGGCTTGAGTCCTGGACCCAGTGGCTTGACAAACACCCCAGGCAAATGTGCATGGCTGTCCAAAATCCAATGAGGAGAATGGATGGCATGGCCATTATTCTGGGGGGACACTTTCTCATTTTCTCTGCCTGTTTTCTGGCAAGTGTACAAGCCGTATAGCAAAATTTTTTTTTAAATTATGTATTTTATATATATACATACACATACACACACAAACACAGTTGTAATAGTCACTTTTTGTTATAGAGAGAGATTTTTGCTATAGGGCCCGTGTGTTCGCCAGAGAAACATACCTAAATCCCTTCTCCATTCTCCTCTTGGGATTTTGGGCACTCATGCACGCACACCTGCCATGAGCTTTAAGCCACCAGGTCTGGGACTTGAACTGCAATCAGCTACCTGGGAGTTTAGCAATGTAACCATTAGGCCATCTGCTGGTCCCATGATTGTAATAGTTACTTTTTTAAAAAGAATGATTTTATTTTAACTTTATTTATTTACTTTTGTCTGACAATGGCAGATGACAGAAAAGACAGTGGTCCCGTTAAGATACAATGAGCTGAAAATCCGTGTTATTGACATCACAGCCATAGTAATGCCATAGCACCGTGACGCACACGTTTGTGGAGATACTGGGAGTAACAGACCCACGGCCTTGCAGTCATGTACAAGTGTAGCATGCACAGGGCCAGCAGACGATGTGGAAGCTAAGGCACTGGGTCCCCCGTGGCCAACTGTGTGCTTCAAGTTGCGGACCCAGTGGCTTGAGAAACACACCAAGTGTGTGTACCCAAAATCCCAAGAAGAAAAAGGGATTGTGGTTTATTGATCCTGGGGGGGGGGGGGATTTCCTACCTTACTCCTCTTTCTACCCCTCTCTCTCTCTCTCTCCAGTGATTCATGCACCCTACAGCAAACAAACAAGTATAGCACATACAGTTATATATATAGCACATAATAATTGATAAGGACAGTAAATGTCTGCTATTTATTTTTTTTTTTGGGGGGGGGAGAGATTTTTCACTGTAGGGTGCGTGTGCTCGCCAGACAGACAGAGAGAGACATAGAGACAGAAAGCGAGAAATCACCCCCCATGGGGGATGGTCACGCCGCAATCCCTTCTCCTCCATTCTCCTCTTGGGATCTTGGGCACGCACGCACACGCACCCGGCGTGAGTTTTAAGCCACCGGGTCCGGGACACGAACCGCGGTCGACTACGTGGGAGTCCAGCGACATAGTCATTACGCTAACTGCTGGTTCCCAATGTCTGCTATTTATTTATTTTAAAGAATTATTTTATTGAACTTTATTTTATTTACGTACTTATTTATTTGAATTTGACCAGAGAGGCACAAAATGTGTGTGTGTGTGTGTGTGTGTGAGAGAGAGAGAGAGAGAGAG